TGGTGTTCCATCTCACTCCGACTCCTCAGAATAGCATGTCACAGAAGGCTGTTGGTTTGAAATGGTAAGTCAAGCATACTTTTCCCATATAAAATATTTGTCTGACTAAAGACTGAGATCACTAATCTTGTATAGCATCTATGAAAGTAACTGTCACTTTGAATGAAACAGGTTGGCGGTGCTGAGTTGCCTCCCTTAGTTACAACAGAATCCAGTAATCAATAAGAAACCACAGCCATGCTTCTGGCATTTACCAAAGAAGCAAACAATAAAGACCTGGGACACTAAACAAATAGAACTACCCGAAGACACGGGTTCGAACATGGGCACAAAGCATTTTCTGGTGTCCCCGCCGTGATATTGCTGGAATTGCTAAAAGCGGCGTAAAACTAAACTCAGTCATCAGTCAGTGTAGAACTACGCCATTTGTAACCAGTATAGAGTTACGATGGTTCGTAACACTACGAATGCTCTGTGGATTAAGATTTCAAGCTTTCCTCCCATATTCTTCTGACATTGAGCAATCTGACCATGAATCAGATCATCCATGTCTCGAGGCCTTGAGGATCTTGTGACACAGATTAAATGCCAACTCACTCCATTGACAGGAAATACAGTTTTCGTAAGTCATCAAAATATGAATGATCTGCAGATTCGATTTAAAGATTGCTGTATGGTTGATAACAGATTGTAAATATGGAATAAATGGGTTTTTTCTAAGTTTAGTTGTTTTGTTATGCTTTCCTTTGTGTAGTACACAGACTGGGTGTGTGGCGTGAGTATTGAGTATTGATTGTCTGGTCAGGAGTGTATATACAAGACCATGCTTGGAGGTCACAGACTAACTGCGTGGGTATTGTAGGAAGGTGGAATATCTGGTCAGGAGTATTTACAAGACCATGCTTGGACGTCACAGACTGTAACTGTGTTGGTATTGTAGCAAGGTGGAATATCTGGTCAGGAGTATTTACAAGACCATGCTTGGACGTCACAGACTGTAACTGTGTGGGTATTGTAGCAAGGTGGAATATCTGGTCAGGAGAGTATTTGCTAGACCATGCTTGGATGTCACAGACTGTAACTGAGTGGGTATTGTAGCAAGGTGGAATATCCGGTCAGGAGTATTTACATGACCATGCTTGGACGTCACAGACTGTAACTGTGTGGGTATTGTAGCAAGGTGGAATATCTGGTCAGTCGGGTATTTACAAGACCATGCTTGGATGTCACGGACTGTAACTGTGTGGGTATTGTAGCAAGGTGGAATATCTGGTCAGGAGAGTATTTACAAGACCATGTTAGGATGTCACAGACTGTAACTGTGGGTATTGTAGCAAGGTGGAATATCTGGTCAGGAGAGTATTTACAAGACCATGTTAGGATGTCACAGACTGTAACTGTGTGGGTATTGTAGCAAGGTGGAATATCTGGTAAGGAGAGTATTTACAAGACCATGTTAGGATGTCACAGACTGTAACTGTGTGGGTATTGTAGCAAGGTGGAATATCTGGTCAGGAGTGTATTTGCAAGACCATGCTTGGATGTCACAGACTGTAACTGTGTGGGTATTGTAGCAAGGTGGAATATCTGGTCAGGAGTGTATTTGCAAGACCATGCTTGGATGTCACAGACTGTAACTGTGTGGGTATTGTAGCAAGGTGGAATGTCTGGTCAGGAGTGTATTTACAAGACCATGCTTGGATGTCACAGACTGTAACTGTGTGGGTATTGTAGCAAGGTGGAATATCTGGTCAGGAGTGTATTTCCAAGACCATGCTTGGATGTCACAGACTGTAACTGTGTGGGTATTGTAGCAAGGTGGAATATCTGGTCAGGAGCGTATTTACAAGACCATGCTTGGATGTCACAGACTGTAACTGTGTGGGTATTGTAGCAAGGTGGAATATCTGGTCAGGAGTGTATTTACAAGACCATGCTTGGATGTCACAGACTGTAACTGTGTGGGTATTGTAGCAAGGTGGAATATCTGGTCAGGAGTGTATTTACAAGACCATGCTTGGATGTCACAGACTATAACTGTGTGGGTATTATAGCAAGGTGGAATATCTGGTCAGGAGTGTATTTACAAGACCATGCTTGGATGTCACAGACTGTAACTGTGTGGGTATTGTAGCAAGGTGGAATATCTGGTCAGGAGTGTATTTACAAGACCATGCTTGGATGTCACAGACTGTAAGTGTGTGGGTATTGTAGCAAGGTGGAATATCTGGTCAGGAGTGTATTTACAAGAATATGCTTGGATGTCACAGACTGTAACTGTGTGGGTATTGTAGGAAGGAGGATTGTCTGGTCAGGAGCGTATTTCCAAGACCATGCTTGGATGTCACAGACTGTAACTGTGTGGGTATTGTAGCAAGGTGGAATATCTGGTCAGGAGTGTATTTACAAAACCATGCTTGGATGTCACAGACTGTAACTGTGTGGGTATTGTAGCAAGGTGGAATATCTGGTCAGGAGTGTATTTACAAGACCATGCTTGGATGTCACAGACTGTAACTGTGTGGGTATTGTAGCAAGGTGGAATATCTGGTCAGGAGAGTATTTGCTAGACCATGCTTGGATGTCACAGACTGTAACTGTGTGGGTATTGTAGCAAGGTGGAATGTCTGATCAGGAGTGTATTTGCTAGACCATGCTTGGACGTCACAGACTGTAACTGTGTGGGTATTGTAGCAAGGTGGAATATCTGGTCAGGAGTATTTACATGACTATGCTTGGATGTCACAGACTGTAACTGTGTGGGTATTGTAGGAAGGTGGAGTTTCTGTTCAGTCGAGTATTTACAAGACCATCCTTGGATGTCACAGACTGTAACTGTGTGGGTATTGTAACAAAGTGGAATATCTGGTCAGCAGAGTATTTACAAGACCATGCTTGGATGTCACAGACTGTAACTGTGTGGGTATTGTAGCAAGGTGGAATATCTGGTCAGGAGTGTATTTACAAGACCATGCTTGGATGTCACAGACTGTAACTGTGTGGGTATTGTAGCAAGGTGGAATATCTGGTCAGGAGCGTATTTACAAGACCATGCTTGGATGTCACAGACTGTAACTGTGTGGGTATTGTAGCAAGGTGGAATATCTGGTCAGGAGTGTATTTACAAGACCATGCTTGGATGTCACAGACTGTAACTGTGTGGGTATTGTAGCAAGGTGGAATATCTGGTCAGGAGTGTATTTACAAGACCATGCTTGGATGTCACAGACTGTAACTGTGTGGGTATTGTAGCAAGGTGGAATATCTGGTCAGGAGTGTATTTACAAGACCATGCTTGGATGTCACAGACTGTAACTGTGTGGGTATTGTAGCAAGGTGGAATATCTGGTCAGGAGTGTATTTACAAGACCATGCTTGGATGTCACAGACTGTAACTGTGTGGGTATTGTAGCAAGGTGGAATATCTGGTCAGGAGTGTATTTACAAGACCATGCTTGGATGTCACAGACTGTAACTGTGTGGGTATTGTAGCAAGGTGGAATATCTGGTCAGGAGTGTATTTACAAGACCATGCTTGGATGTCACAGACTGTAACTGTGTGGGTATTGTAGCAAGGTGGAATATCTGGTCAGGAGTGTATTTACAAGAATATGCTTGGATGTCAGGTGGACTGTCAACTGTATTTCTTGGATATCACAGACTTAACTGTAACTGTGTGGGTATTGTGGCAAGGTGGAATATCTGGTCAGGAGTGTATTTACAAGAATATGCTTGGATGTCACAGACTGTAACTGTGTGGGTATTGTAGCAAGGTGGAATATCTGGTCAGGAGTGTATTTACAAGAATATGCTTGGATGTCACAGACTGTAACTGTGTTTGTATTGTGGCAAGGTGGAATATCTGGTCAGGAGTGTATTTACAAGACCATGCTTGGATGTCACAGACTGTAACTGTGTGGGTATTGTAGCAAGGTGGAATATCTGGTCAGGAGTGTATTTGCTACAGTTCGTTTGAGTCAGAAACGGACCGATGAATTGCAAATTGTACAAAATTGCCACATAAAGATAAATAGTACACATGTTTATCATTTACTAATACCCAACAGCTTTCATATATTTGAAAATTTTCCGGACTCCACCAAAAAAGTTGTTTAAGAAACAATCATCATTGAAAACGCAAAAGTTGTTATCTGTCGCGGCGGGGTGAAACCTCAGAAACGGAACAGCCACTATCTCGTCGTGCACGGGATACACATGCCTGATGAAAAATGAAGTTGAATGCTGACGTGAAACAGTTGATGATGAAAGTGTACGATGTTTTCCGTGCTGAAGCCGAAAGGGGCCAACCATTTTATGCCATTAATAAATTCCGTAAGCGTTTCTTACTCAAACGGACTGTATACCATGCTAGGAAGTCACAGACTGTAGACGTACTGTGTGAGTATTGTAGCAATGTTGATTGTGTGGTCAGGTCAGAAGTTAGTATACAAAAGTGTGCTGGAAATGTGGAGCAAATCAACAAAGAGAATCCAACAAGTGCTCGGTTTGTACCCTTGATCTTCCTCCTTAGGTCTGTATCACTAGTGAACACGATATATGCAACACAAACCATTCCGGGTGTGCCATTATCTATTGAGTTGCAATGTTATAACATGGATGGTAAGGCGCTCAGGTTCAATTTCCCATGTGCACAGGATCGCCTTTTTTGGTATCGAAGATAGATCATCGTCACAGAGAGCAGTCGGTGTGACCTACCCGTCTGCTCTTTTGGTCATTACCTTAAGTGGGATAATAGACGTATAATATGTCATGTATATCAGCAGTGTGAGAGCTTGTGCATTGTAAGTCTGGTTCAATGTAATGCCAACGAGTGGCCGTATATCTTGATGAAAAGGCTACATTACTACCCCGCTGAATAAATTCCACTCAGGTTCTAAAGTTGCCTGGCGAGTACCCCAGTTGCCTTTTGAAAGCAGCCCATGCGCATATTTGAGCAGTGACTAGTCGCGTGTTACGGAATTTTATATTTAGGTTAGTTATGATAAGATCACTAATAACTGGTTTGAACCAGTGTTTGTTTATGAGATCGCCGGACGTGTGTCAAATAGTATACACAGTGCTTTTCCAAGTAAATAATTACCGACAGAGAAGTGTTCTCGTCACCTGAAATGCGTGATCATATAAAGGATAGACATTGATAATGTCACAGATACATGTGCACGGGTACAACGTCTCTGTTGGAGGACAACAGGTGATACAACAAGTCGGAGGTAAGATCAGACATAGTATCCAGGAGACACCAGGGCCACGTTTCACAAAGCCACCATACCAGTGTTACGTATATGCCTGACGACCGTCGTAGCCTTGTAATGGGGATGGCCTAAAAGTCGGGCCAAGAAAAGTCGGGCCGGGCCGGGCCGGGCCACCGGGTAATACTAAAAATGGATTGCAGAATATTAAAACGAAACCTGCACATTTGGATCGATACTCTTCCTGCCTTCACAAATGCATAGTTTAATTGAAAATGTATAGCTAATGGTGAAAAAAAACACCACAACAACAATGACTACATACCGAGATTCCCGTAGAAAAGACACCGTCTTCTTGTTGTGTGTTTTCCTTGCTATGTATATGAGGGAAGGTTGCTTACTTCTCTTAGCGTGTGGCATCCTGGGATCCTGGGCAGGAAGTGACAGTGTTTTGACTGCTTTTATTTTATTTGCGTGTATATTGCATTAATTAATTGTACGCATGGTGTTCGTTAATGGGTTTATTAGCCAATAATGTATTTGGCCCGCCTTGGCCCGGCCCGGCCGACTTTTAGGCCATCCCCTTGGCTTTAATGGCTTTGTGGAATGGGACAGAGGGTTCACTTGAGCACATACAGACAGGCAGCTGTCAGTGAAATCTGGATATCTCCAGTAGTTAATAGGGTTTCAGGACTACAGCATTCAAGGTCCCTGTAACGTTTACAATTGTACAACACGCAGTGGCACAGCAGGTAACACAAAGGCCGATGCTGCAGCTAAAGCAGCTCTTGACAAGCCCTTATCTCCACTGCTGATCGCGTATAGTGATTTCAAACAAACTGTCAAAAGTTATACTCGGGACCTCATGCAAAAAAGGTGGGACAGCCGAATAGGAAGAAATAAACTCCATGAATTGGTTACACCTACTTGGGTTGTCAGTCAAGACGTGATGAGGTAGTTTTAGGATGATGTCGTATTGGCCACAGTCGGTTTACTCACGACTATCTGCTGAAAACGGATGTGATGGTCCTCCCATGTGTATCTCTTGCGATGAAGTGTTCACCATCAATCATATAATACTGCTTGACTGTGTGGACTTTTCCACTGCAAGGGACATACATTATGAGGCGATAAATCTGAAAGATCTGTTTTCCCGTGTCACCGGACATCTCATTGTTAGCTACCTGAGGAGGGAAGTCGACCTGTACCATAAATTGTAACTATGTAATGTGAATGACGGATTGCTTGTTTTTTAATTTGGTGCTATGACATTCTGTTTGTAAATAGTAATGTAATGAATATATATGTTTGTTAGTTTGATTGTTTTTACCCCCCCCCCCCAAAAAAAAACAAACCCAAACAAACAACAACAAAAAAAAAAAAAAAAAAAACAACAACGAAAAAAAAACAAAAAAACCCAAAAACAACAACAACAACAACTCTTTTAGGACCTTATATTTTAAATGTGTATGAATTCAGACTTGTTCTCATGGCTGTAATACTGCCGATGTGAGGTAAAACCCAACCCAACCCAACTCAACAACTGAGAATGGGGTGGTAAGATGGCAATCTCCATATTCTCAACATTTTTCAAACCAACCACTATTTTTACACAACTTTGGAATAACTAAACTGCTGGAAGTTTATTAATTGTTTTTCTTTATTTCTACGTGGCGGTGGGGTAGCCTAATGGTTAAAGCGTTGGCTCGTCACGCCAAAGACCCGGGTTCGAATCCCCACATGGGTACAATGTGTGAAGCCCATTTCTGGTGTCCCCCGCCGTGATGTTGCTGGAATATTACTAAAAGCGGCGTAAAACCAAACTCTGTCAGTCAGTCTGTATTTGTATAGTCTGTGACTGTTGTCACATTAATTGCCTGTGAAGATCCGCAACTTTTGTTTGTTGTAAGAGACGGCTAAGAGGAACGTGGGGTCAGTTTATACTAACTGTGTAGACTGATGGTCGTGATGTCTCGGATTCGGTTATTTACATATAGCTGGAATATTGGAAAGGGCGACAACAACAAACAAACAAAAGAACTCAAAGATTCAAAGAAATGATGAGTCACTTTAATTTTCAAGACATGACCTCATTCCAAAATCGGATCACTCGTTTGAACCAAACCAGCGAAAATGCTCTAGACACGCACAAAATGTCCAAAATATACGAGGCACATGAAGAAACTGTGCATACAAAAATTTAAAATCTAAATTTATCAAACCTGTGTAGACACATAAGGATTTAAACTCAGAGATTAGTGACATGTATCCAACATGCATGCACGTTCCGTGACGTCAGTGGGTTCGTCCTTGAGACGTTCAATACGTTGTTGCACGTGCATTCCGGGAAAGAGAAACAGAGCAAATGAATGCCACACAATACTGTCACTTTGGAAAGCTCAACCCCTGCCCTTGCGATCGTTCAAAAAATTAAACGGCTATTGAAACGCATAGCATGCCAAGGTTCACGTCTGCACAACGTCATGAGGCCATTGGGATGGTCCGTGGGGGAATGTCTCAACGACAAGTGGCTGCACATTTCCACTGCGACCGGAACACCATTTCTGTACTGTGAGACGCTACCATAACACAAATGACGTCATCGATCGGCCACGTTCTGGACGTCCACGTATAACAACGCCAAGACAGGACAGATGGATAAGGGGTGACCCATCTTCGCCACAGATGCCCGAACCATCCCAGGACTTCGCCGTATCCACCCAACACAGTTCGACAACGTTTACGTCATCACGGGATCAGACCACGACGTCCCGCCATACGGCCTATCCTGACACAACGTCATCGACAAGCTCGCCGAATGTGGTGCCGAAATCATGTCCGCAGACCCTTGTTTTGGTGGAGAAATCTTGTTTTTACAGATGAGTCCAGGTTTAACATTTCCCATAGTGATGGACGTCAACGTGCGTGGGAGAACGTTATGCTCAGGCCTGTGTCTTGGAGAGGAATCGCTTTGAAGGTGGTTCCGTGTTGATTTGGGGTGGAATAACAGCACGCCAAAGAACTCCTTTGGTGATTGACAATGCCCGCCCTCATACGGCAAGGGTTGCTATGGATTTCTTGCAACACCACAACGTTGACTTACTGCCTTGGCCTGCAAATTCACCCGATCCCTCCCCGATAGAGCATGTTTGGGACAAGATGGATCGACGTCTACGCCGTCTTCCTCATCCGCCAGATAATGTCCTTGACCTTGCACCAGAACTTGAGAGAATCTGGCGTGACATCCCACAAGCTTTCCTTGCACGTTTGATAGGCTCTATGCGTCGCCGATGCACTGCTGTTCTCAATGCCGATGGTGGACATACCCGTTATTGAGCTTGTGACATGGTCGTTTGATCCCTGTCCCGCTTGTGGACTCGTGACGTCATTGTGATTGACTTTTCAATTGAAACTCTCCCGACTTGTTATGGTCTCATGATCTCTCCATTAAAGTTTATATGTACCTTTGACGTTGTTATCGTACTTATCAACTGGGATAATATTTTGACAATGCACAGTTTCTTTATGTGGCTAGTTAAGTACAGGTGTTCAGTCATAAATATCAGATAGGTGAATAAAAACATAATGCCTTTTTCTCCAACATGTTTCGTTGTTTACTCTTCAGGGAGATTGTAATAGTCACCTGTTAACAGTTAACAGTTTTCTCCCTGAAGAGTTCATTTTGAATAATTATGAACTTTTTTTATAATTAATATTTAATGATAGTAATTTATTTTGAACTTGACAAAAAGGTTTGTATATATTTTGTTACTGATGGTAAAATATTTGATTGTATCTTGTATGCACTTTCTATCAGTTTGGAACTATGTATTTCATCTTTTTCTCCCAATTTACTCACCCAGTGAGAACATTTTGCTATATATACATGCTTATGTTCCAGCTGTAACAGAGGAAGGAGGTGATGAGGAGGGCAACGTGTGTGTCGGTGGCACGCAGGTCATCAATAAATATGCTTCACCTCCTCATGGTAAGAATGGGTGTGTGAGTGTGGTATTACGCCATATTTATCAATATTCCAGCAATATCACGGCGGGGGACTCCAGAAAAGGGTTTTACACATTGTGCCCCAGAATTGTTGTACGTAAGGTGTTTGATCGTCAACTTTGACCAAACAATGACATGGCCAGTAGTGCAAAACTGAGAAGAAAAGTAATCTGATCCTTGAAAATTCAGATAATCTTCCAACCAGATGAAATGAAACCCCATGAACATGATCCCAAGGGTGTAAATGTATTTTGAGAGAGCCTTTGCTGATCTCGATTACAGGCCAGTGTCACCAAAAACCTTGTGAAAAGATAGACTACTTGATTTTCGTAACATTTTCCCCCACCCTTGCTATGTGTCAGGCCATTTATACAATACCAGGGGTACCAAATCATATTCTTCGATGACAAAAGCCAGACGCTTTCTTCTGTTCTTGCTCGGGTCATGTCAATGTCAAGGTAATACATATACATTTCAGACAATCCCACAAGACAGGAATAGCTTAAATTTTGGATTTTCTGTTTCGAAATTGCCTGGGCAAGTGCCGTATTGTTGATTCACCATTGTCATATTATACATCGCTTTGTGCTATTGCAGATGGGGACAGTGAGGTAAAGAGGCGCAGTCAACATAAAGCTTGGACTACAGCGTGCACTGTGGTGAAAGAACATGTCCTCAAACATCCAGTTACCACCATAATAGGAAGTCCTGGTGAAGGAAAGACTACAACGGGTTATTTGGTGATGAACGACTTCTTGAAAAGACGATGGTGCACATTTGCTCCCAAAACACCCCAGGAATATTTTTCTCACTCGATGGAAGAACACACGATTGTTTTGTTGAATGATATTTTCGGGACATTTGAATATGATGAGAATTGTTGGAAAGGTTGGCTTTCTGTTTTTGATGACATAAGATCTCATAGCCTTAAAAACTCTCATAGAGAAGAACCGGAAACATCCAGTGTGAAATACATCATTATAAGCAGAGACTATATTTGGAGAGAAGCAGAGCACAAATTAGGAAAATTTATTAACAACATATTCACGAAGGTCAATATCCTGGATATCAGTACATCTGTTGAAGCTAAGCTAAACCTTGATGATAAGCTGCAAATCATTCATGTCATGATGAATGAACATGACAGAGAACTTTCCAAAGATGTCATTGAAAGAATAATCAAGGAACCCACTCCACATGGGTTTCCACATTGTGCAGAGCTGATGTTTACCTTGCAAGACACACGAGAAGACCCAGTGACGTTTTTTAGAGAACCACTTGTCTTCTTGAAGGAGACAATCAGACAGTTGAGTGACGATCTGGTAAAACGCTACGTTTTCATTCTACTCCTTAAACACGGAGGGGAGATGCCACTTTGCAAAACAACAGAACAGTTACAAGATGCTGGAAAGGGGTTGATTCCTGATCACATCATGGATACCTTTGATGTTCATACCTTCCAGAAGACATGCTACGTGTTACAAGGGCCATATCTTCAAATAGAGGAAGACATGATCAAGTTTTCCCACCCATCTGTGCTCCAAAGTGTAGCAGTGAATCTCGGATGTGACTTTCCTGAGTTGTTAATTAAACATTGCCATATGAACGTGTTAAAGGACATCCTCCGACACGGGTTTGAACCTAGTGAGAGCTATGTCGATGTCACACATAACATCATCCCAATCGTGGTTGATAGATTTGCAAAGGAGCTTTGTAATGGAAACATGATACATGTTCTTTCGCATGTCCTTCTGCAGTGGAAAGAGTTTGTAGTGAAATTGCTCAGTTGCTCTGATATTCCAAAGGATTTGCCAGAGCATGTTCATGAAGCCACAGGCGAGTCCTGCTTGTATCTAGCATCGAGCAACAAGAAAAACGTGATTTTAGAAGAGCTATTGAGAAGGTTCCCAATGACTAAACATAACTTGGTAAATGCTTTGTTTGGTTGCTGTGAGTTTGGAAACAGCAGTGGCGCCAGTTCTATCCTTTCATCTAACCAGGAAAATTTGCATGAAGTGAGAAACAAAGACGGAGAAACGTTTCTTTTAGTTGCTGCCAGGAATGGACACATTGACGTATGCAGGGCTGTCCTTCCTCGTCAAAATGTTGACTTGGGGAACAAGCAAGGGGACACCGCTTTGCATTTAGCAGCAGAGCAAGGCAATACTGATCTCATAAATCTGTTGATAGATCAGGTTAATGATGTGGATCAGAGGAACAAGAAGATGGAAACAGCTCTACACAAAGCATTACTTGGTGGACATATTGACGCGTCAAAGAATCTTTTAGAAAGCGGAGCTGATTTTACCAAGACAGAGTCAATGGGACTGACGGCACTTCATTGTGCCTGTTACACGGGTCTATCAGAGATAGTTACAATTCTGGTGGAAAAAGGTTGCGACATCCATGCACTAAACAAACGTGGGAGTCATGCAATCACAAAAGGTGCTGAAAGTGGACATACAGAAATAGTAGAACTGTTACACAATGCAGGATGTAGTGTGCACAGATCTAACAATGAAGGTTACACTTGTCTACACTTCGCAGGTCAGAATGGTCACATGGATACTGTCAACTGTCTACTAAGATTAGGCTGTGATATAAATGCCAGAAGTCACATTGGACGTACGCCTCTAATGCAAACGGTCATTGGAAACCAGTTGGAGGTGCTGGAGATCTTAGTGGAAAATGGGGCTGACATCAATGCTGTGGACATCGTAGGATTTAATACACTAATGGTGTCTATTATGTCCTTTTCTTCAGATGGAGCTCTGTTTCTGCTTGAGAGGGGTGCAGATATCCATCACCATTGGTCGGTGCCAAAGTTTATAAGCTGTCGTCCTTTACAACTTTTTTGGGGAGGGTTAATACTGCCTCTCCTTCATATGAGCAATATGATGGAAAGGTTTCTTCCACAAAATACTTTGTCACCCCTGATGCTCTGTGTGATTACAGGCCAAAAAGACGTTATGGTGAATATTTTAGAACAAGGAGAGGTTCTTGGTGAAAATCTTCTACACAACTGCTGTGAAAATGCAGACAACTGTGTTGCCATGGTCGCGACAAATCTACCATCCTTTCCAAATGCGCTTCAAAAGTCTTTCATTGCCCGTTTGAAACACGTGTGTACACGTGATGTTGCTCAGGAACTTATTCAAAGAGGAGTCGATGTCAATGCGTTTGATAGCAATGGGTTTGCCCCTTTGCATCTTGCAGCTGGAAATGGCCACACTGGTATTTTGAAAGTATTACTGGACAGTAATAATTGTTTGCTCAATCCAAGATCTCGCAAGGATAAGTCAACTCCTTTACATGCAGCTGTGGGAAACAATCACACGGATTCAGTAAACCTGCTGCTGGCGCACCATTGTGAAGTAAACAGCAAGGATATTGCAGGTCGAAGTCCAGTACATTTAGCTTGTGAGACGGGCAATCCCATTGTTCTGCAGGACCTTCTAGCACATGGAGCTGATGCTAATATTCAGGATCAGAAAGGCAACACACCCCTACACTATGCCGCCTGGGAAGGTGATCTTGTCAGTGTACGCTGTCTGTTGGGTACTGGAAACATCTTGGACATGCAGAACAGGTATTCTTTCAGAGCAGTCGACTATGCCTATGCTCGCTGTAAGACAGACACAGGAAGGGTGCTTGAACAACGTTTTCCTCCACGGAGTCTTCGAAGACGGTGTAAGCTTCAACTATTGAAAAAATTGTTTGCACACCCGAACGTGTGTTTCATCATGGATCATTCCGTGGTGGCACTGTGTGTATGTGTATGTATATGGTATGTATTTGTTATCACATGCTTGTTTCACGTTTTCCAAAGAATGTTTTGTTACCAGTGACCAAGACGTCACATTCTGAGCATGTCACGGATCTTCTAAGAAGCACCTGGGTTGTTTCTGGTAATGTCATAAATGGGATCGGTACCATTATCAGCAGGGGGAAATATCATGTCAACAACATTACGGCAACCTCTGAGGTCTGGGAAGGTCATCTTGAAAGACAGTGTACTCTGTCTGATCGGTACTGTGAATATCTTGAACATACAGAATAGGTATTCCTTCAGAGCAGTCGACAACGCATATGTTTGTTGCAATACAGTCACAGGAAGGGTAAAAGAACAACGTTTCTCTCCATTGAGTCTTCGACGATGATGTAAACAACTGAAAACTGTGTTTGTACAGCTGTTCCTGAACACTTGTGGGTAACATTTACCGTTTTAGTTAACTGTGTTTGTACAGATGTTCCTGAAACCTTGTGGGTAACATTTACCGTTTTAGGTAACTGTGTTTGTACAGCTGTTGCTGAACACTTGTGGGTAACATTTACCGTTTTAGTTAACTGTGTTTGTACAGCTGTTCCTGAACACTTGTGGGTAACATTTACTGTTTTAGTTAACTGTGTTTGTACGGCTGTTCCTGAACACTTGTGGGTAACATTTACTGTTTTAGTTAACTGTGTTTGTACAGCTGTTCCTGAACACTTGTGGGTAACATTTACTGTTTTAGTTAACTGTGTTTGTACAGCTGTTCCTGAACACTTGTGGGTAACATTTACTGTTTTAGTTAACTGTGTTTGTACAGCTGTTCCTGAACACTTGTGGGTAACATTTACTGTTTTTTAAGTTTTAAGCTGTTCCTGAACACTTTGTACAGCTGTTCCTGAACACTTGTGGGTAACATTTACTGTTTTAGTTAACTGTGTTTGTACAGCTGTTCCTGAACACTTGTGGGTAACATTTACTGTTTTAGTTAACTGTGTTTGTACAGCTGTTTCTGAACACTTGTGGGTAACATTTACTGTTTTAGTTAACTGTGTTTGTACAGCTGTTTCTGAACACTTGTGGGTAACATTTACTGTTTTAGTTAACTGTGTTTGTACGGCTGTTCCTGAACACTTGTGGGTAATATTTACTGTTTTAGTTAAGTGTGTTTGTACAGCTGTTTCTGAACACTTGTGGGTAACATTTACTGTTTTAGTTAACTGTGTTTGTACAGCTGTTCCTGAACACCTATGGGTAACATTTACTGTTTTAGTTAACTGTGTTTGTACAGCTGTTCCTGAACACTTGTGGGTAACATTTACTGTTTTAGTTAACTGTGTTTGTACAGCTGTTCCTGAACACTTGTGGGTAATATTTACTGTTTTAGTTAACTGTGTTTGTACAGCTGTTCCTGTAATCGGTTGTACATTGGGGCGAGGTGGGCGCGGATCCAGCGAGGTTGAGGTGACGGGATCGAGCCCACCTGTGACCGGGCGTAAACATCTTGGAGTCAACTTTGTGTGCAGACTCTTTCAGTGTTGTCACAACCCCTAGTGTACAGTACACAATCCTGTGCACTTTAAAGAACCGACGAATCCGTTGGTATATGACCAGATGGTGGCCACATGAATACGTGCAAACACCTAGTTGCGGGTACAGCAACGTGCAGTAAACTTGGACGAGGTACTGTGACTCTGTGTGTCTCGTTAGGATGAGTAAGCCACAATAACTCGGTGCACCTAGTGGCTGCAAGAGTTGTATACTCCCCAGGGAGTTGAGATTGATAATACGATGTGCCGTTGAGATTGACCCTCAGTGATCGAGGGAAAAAAATACCAGCGCCTGGAGCAAGCACTAGTTGCCTGGATATGTGCGCTATGTAAATATCATATAACACAAAAATAATAATACATTACTGAGTAAACTGTATTAGTTTACAGTATTTAGTACTTGAGTGCTTGTACTTTTTTCAGTACATTTTCTGTGTTTAAATGTATCTATTATAAATACTGTATAAAATGCAATTCTTCACTTTTAAATTACGTTTAAGTTTTAGTTCATGTTACAGTCGAGCACCGTTGTCTCGATGTTCATGGGACCGAAAAAAATATCGAGTTATCCGAACTTCCAGACATCCATATCATCGCATATAACTATGAAAGAAAGCAAAACAAAAAGTAGCTTAGTGTATTAGATTGTCTGTTAGTGTAGGTATAATGAAAGGTCACATCTATACTGTGGTTGTAATGTTTATATAATATATCTGTGTTATATCTACTATTCACACTTTGCTAAGGATCAAATCATGGATTCAACAGAAAACTATGATGTGGGGTCAATTTGGTTTATATATCTAAGCTTATTGTAAGCATGGATCCTAGGTTTCAGTATGTCATTGCATCTTGTGGATCCCATACCTGAGTGGTCAGGCTCGCGGACTTGTATATTTTAAAACGGTTGCAAAACATCTTAATAACAAGATGTTTTCATGTTCAATGACATTTCTGTCTACAGCTTACAAACTGCAGGGATGTGATCAAGTGTTCAGACGGATCATCCGATACGAGTCTCGATCAATGTATCCCCAAAGACCGTCGTATAGCTTGTACAGCAGGCTTTGATACCCCAGTGAACGAATCAGTGAAATCAATTCTTATGCCGTTGGCAAGTACCCTTGTAACAAAAGCGGTCTGGAAATATTTCAGCAATGACCTAAGCGTCTAATTTTAGTGGACGTGTCTTGCGTGGTAGCAAACTTAGATCACAAAGATTTTTTTCAGTTTGTCATCGATGACAAGACATCCTTCTGGGTGTTATCCATGAAACTTTGATGAAAACGCACTATATAGTTGGCCTTGGTAACTTCACAACAACGCAACTCATTAAGATCCGGGTTAGAATTTGCCTTCAGCAACACATGCTTGGCGTTAAAGGCGAGTAACGGGATCGGCTGGTCCGGCTCGCTGACTTGGTTGACACATGTAGGGTGCTCGCCAATAATTTGAACATACTTTCTACATTACCAGCGTTCGACATGTCTTGGCCCGGGATACGAGGAGGGTCAAATCAACTTAAATACCTCATTTTTCGTAAAAATGGTGTTTGTATCTATAGACTGCAATGTTTTCTACCTAAATATCAATTTATGCCACTGTCGGAAATCTGGGAAATCGAACCCGGATCTTTGGCGTGACGAGCGAACTGAGCATCTCAGTGGGCATAGCAGTGTAAAATCGGCATTAGGCGGGAGTAGTACAAACATACGCACGTACGCGCACACACACACGAACGTGAATGAACGTGGCTATATTTACTTCCAATAATCTTGAACACAACGGTTAATCATATTTCATCTCACTTCAGATATTTCAATTGTATAAAGATGGGTTGTAAAGCTAGCCAGCCTTCATTTGACAAACAAGATGCCATCAGCCCGCACGCGCACCATTTGATTCAGGTCGTGTTGCACAAGTCTCTAAAGTGATAATTAATAGTTTAAATGAAAATTTCTAAAAAATATAAATAACAGACTGGCATGTTTAGACTTGTACTGTCTGCTTATCTAGACTTGCCTCTTTGAACGATAGAACTTCTATACATTCCTGGGCTTAGCATTTAGGAAGAAATAGACTGATGATACCTACTTGGGTTGTCAGTCAAGACGTGATGAGGTAACCTTACGACGATGTCGTATTGGCCACAGTCGGTTTACTCATGACTATCTGCTGATAACGGATGGGGATGGACCTCCCATGTGTGTCTCTTGCGTTGAAGTGTTCACCATCAAATATTTCTGCTTGACTGCGTGGACTTTTCAACTGCAAGGGACTTACATTATGATGCGATAAATCTGAAAGATCTGTTTTCCCGCGTCAGCGGGCATCTCATTGATAGCTACCTGAGGGAAGTTTGACCTGTACCATAAATTGTGACTATTTTTTGTAATGTGAATAACAAATTGCTTGCTTCTGAATTTGGTGTTATGACATTTTCTCGTTTAAGCTTTGTACTTAAAGTGTCCATGTATCGTGACTTGGTATCGTCGCTATATGGCTGAAATAATGCTGATGCGACGTAAAACTCAACTCAAGTCAGCTCAGCTCAGCTCAGCTCATGCACATACATCTTTTACTCAGCTGAGTCATTCTGACCAACTCGTGTTATTCCGGGACAAGCTGATTTTACGGAAAGGGGCGAGTGGTGACGAATGCAGCACAGTAACTGCAGTCATGTGACCAGTCATGTGACCTGTCAGCTGATCCAGGAGGCGTAGAGATCACTAAACGTGTCTTCGTATATCTCTATCTTATTGGCAAGCTTTCAGTATTACCCCAGTGAATGGTTCAATGCGCACTTTGATCCTCCAGTTCCTTGGCCCAGTTACCTCACAAAAGCAGGTTATACAGATATTTGAGCAATTACCCTACGCACTGTCTCACACAAAGGAAGTTAATATACAGCGTAGGACCGGTGAACGGCAGGAACTATTTCATAGCATGGAAGTGAACGATTTATCACGCGAGAGGTGAGCAGGTTTTATTTTTTAGATGTAGGGACATTGTCAATATCTAAATTTGTACCACCTGTCACACTGTCCCCAAAATTCATGCTGTGAAATAGAAGACACATATGCGTAATAATACCAAATATCTTTCCATTCCCTCATTATACAAGAACATGAGCCTGCAAAACAATGTCTAGCTTTGGATACGTTTCTGTAAAGATGCATAAACATATCGAAGTTTAAGGTATCATTGCTGTATATACGAAAAAAAATATACACCAACATTAAGAATAATTATCGAACTATCTTTGTGCAAAAGATGAATGCTTAGTGTTGTACCGTTTTCGAGTTTTCATCCTCGAAAAACAGACGCCATCAAATTGTTAGTGAGCGACTTAAGAACCCAGATAATTTGTCATGGTAAACGATTTCATTTTCTGTTGGTGAATGATTTATGGCCAGCCAAAACTCGTCATCCAGTTTGCTATACAGCATTACCACTAACTATCAAGTATTCAAACGACGGAAATGTCACCATATCAATGCTAATACTGTTCTGAACATCTTCAAGACTTCAGTGGGGTGATATATCACTGTAATGACATTCACACGTAGAAGACAATTATTATGTTAAAAATACGTTCAGGTGACATTACAGGTAAACTCAAAAGAGTACAAAACAAATTCATTATGTGTGCCAAATGAAACTGATAAACGAAATTGTTGTCTCTATGGAACCTGCAAAATTCAGTTTAAGGACCGTTCAGAATCTATGGCTAGGCGGGGTGATGATGATTTTTATGGTGAAGCATGTACAATGTGAATGACCCTCCTAAACTTTATGTACAAAATAAGTGACCCCTAGCTCCCCTGAACAAAATGGGTAACCTCTCCTTAAAATCATCCCCCCCCCCCAGCCATAAATAATGAAAGGTCCCTTTGTATCAAACGATAACGAATCACCTTGTCCACCCAAAAAAGAAAAGATATACTCTTAAAAAAACAACAATAAGTCGTTTTCAGAAGAATTCATCGTGTTAGTTTAAGAGTCATTATTTCATGTAATTTTAATGGTTGAAAGGTGAAAATTCACACGTCTGTATATAGACAAAGACAGCAGCAACATTTATTGTTCTGAGTCCACAAGATGGCGTCAAAGTCAGTACTTTGTATGGCCACCATTGGCAGCAATTACTGCTCGACACCATCTCGGCACAGACTAGATAGGTCGACGAAGTCACTCTTGAGGAATTCTTCCCCACTCTTCCTGCAATGCGATGGCCAGTTGTCGAAGTGTCTGGGGCGTGTTTTGACATTGACGGACACGTCGATCGAGTTCAT